CCCCCCCCCCCCCCCCGTATACCTGACCATCCTTTTCCCCTCTCCTGCCCAATAGCTTGACACCACCCCCCAACCCTAGGTAAACATTAACTTTCTGTCTCTAGCGGTACAGCTCCTCCACAAAGGTAATAGGATTTTTTTTAAGATGCCAAAAATATATTTTCCCCTCCTTTATCTTCATGCTCAAATAGGACTGACAATAAACTTTTAAAAACAAAACAAAACAAAACAAAAGCTTACTCAATCTGGCGTCCCAAAGACCAGACATTGAAAAATTTTGAACCCAAAAGGTGAAAGCCTCTGGAAGTTACACGTCCCTGAAATGAATGGTACCATACAAGATGATGCCCATTCTAATTAGAAGCCAACTCCCTGCTGCCCACCCAGACTCTCTTAACCTTTGCTTCTCTGCCCCAAACATTCAATCCCTGATACCTCGTATTGCCCTCTTTTCCCAGGTTTGTATCTCTTACTGCTGTCTTTCCCTGCCTTCCCTGAATCCTTCCTCCAAAATGCTCTACCAAATATGTATTAGGTTTTTTAAAAACCTCCATAGAATTAACACAAAATTCTTTATTTATTCATTTTTATTAAAAAATACTTTTAAGTGAATGGAAACAAACAAACCAACCTCACAATCTTTCTGTTGTAATGCACCTCTTCAAACAGGGTGCTAAAAAGATTGACGTGGAATGGTGACATCACCATTTGAAGGAGCTATACTAGTACTAATGATTACTGATGTTATTGTGCACTGGCAAACAACTAAGTGGGGAGAAACCAGGATATAAATCATGGAAAATCATCAAAACGTATTATTTCCCCCCAAAAAAATTTAGCGGCAGAGACTTCATACAAGCCAGCAGTTGCACATATGAAACTCTTCAGTCTTATATCCTAGCCAGTGGCAGTAAGATTATTCGGGAGGGAGACACCCATGACAGCATATCCAACTACAATTGTCATGTCTCTTCAGTCCTATTACAGTAGTTCTATAACAGTCTGTAGTCTGAACTATTCATTTACTGATCCTTTTCTACTGTTCAGTGGGGGTTTTTAATGCTGGAATTCAAAACTGATACTATGTTATTATCTTGGATGCATACAGTCTAAGCAGCTATTTTGAAGGCTTTAAGTGATGGGCCAGCACAAGGCTAGTCTCTGCACAGGGAAGAATTTCGCCTTTGGTGTACTGTTCTCTTGGCATCCTGCTCTTAAAAGCATTAGATGAAGTATCAGCCAAATCATACTTTTTAAATTGAACTTCTGATTTATGTTGCAGAGCCTGTGGGAACAACCACCAAAGTAACACTTATAACCATTAGCTCTCGCTTTTCTGACTTCCTCAGTTTTGTTGCACACTGCCGCAGTGGGCTCGGGGGCAAGAGGAAAGGAAAGACTTCATTAGCATAGAGAATGTAGAAAAAGAATGTGTGCGGTAGAAATTCAATGGCAAAGTTGTGCTGCCAACTTGGGCTGTATGGAAATGGAACTTGTGGCAATGTCTGTTGGCAAAGACAGGAACGATAATAATACTGATTTGTAACCGAAATGATACACAACGCACTGAGTCATACGTTGCTACACTATACTAATTAAGAAATGAAAATGATAAATGTAAACACAGAGAAAAACTATATAGGTATAGTACTCAAAACTAATTGTAAACTGTTTGAAATTATATCATTAACTTTCTACTGTAATTTTGTTATTCTACAGTGCACTATTATAGTAAATGATGTATGTAATAGCTGACATTTATGTAGAGCTTTAAATACTGTAATGTATTTACAAACTATGGGTTTACTTGCAGGTTTACACCTTACGAGCCCCTAGGCACAGCATATTCAGCACACACACACACACACACCTGCCTACAGCTGACCTTCGTGTTTTCCGTAAAAAATGAAACTTTTAACCCACTTTTAACTTTTAGTCACCCCTAGAATGCCAGCACCCCTAGGCACGCCTACTGTGCCTAACTGGAAATCTGGCCCTGCATACTTGTGCAAATGTACATGTGGAGCCTCGTTAAATCAGTGGGACTGCTCACATGAGAAAGCATTCAGCAACCTAAGTAAGGGCTGCAATATTGAATCTTTTATGTGGGGAACCTGAACATCACCCCCAAAATGTATCTATCTCTGGATAAAAAGCTGACAACTGTCCAGCAGCACATAGCAACCCTCTACAATTTACAACAGCATGTCAAGAATATAATATTTTATTCAACTGAAGAGAAAATTTAAATAGGAAGAATGTAATTACCCAAGTTAGAATTGCCCTAGAACACCGGAGTTACCACCATAATCATGCAAAAGTCAGAGGATCTTTCAGTGACCACAAGTAGCCAGGATCTTGATATTATCTCTCAACCAAAAGACAGTACCCTCCAGCGGCACAGTGTTCTGGAAGTATCTTGCTGGGGCACCGGTTCAGTATGGACTTTGAGGGGACTATGCCACCTACTGAATCATAACACCAACAGATAGCTAGTATAATAACCCTAATGCACTAACAACAGCCTTGTTAAATGTCTGAAAGGATTTACAGTCAGGATGCCATTTCCCGTATTATACCCACACTTGGTAATGCACACAATTTGCCAAAAAACACTGGAATTACTACAGCAAGTTGCAATTGGTACAATACCCAATGTATAAGCATACAGAAACCAGGATCACAATGGCAAACGCTTCTACTGAATCAAACTTATGTAGCATTCAATCTACTCTGAGATAACTGGGGACCCATGCATCACCACCAGAAAAATAGTTTTGGGACAACAATGAAAAGAATCACACAGCTCTTCATCTTAAACTGAAACATTTGGTTAAATAAATAGGTTAAACTTACGTAGTTCTCCTACTTTCAGGATTTCACACAGCATCTTTGTCAGCTCGATGCTACTGCGGCCAAAGGGACATTCATGTTTGTCTTCTCGGCTGCTGTTTTCCAAGACAATCTGAAGTGGAAATAAAAATGGAAATTGATTTATTTGGACAACCTGTGTGTTGAAGAAATGTCCTCTATGCTCAGCATATACAGTGAACATCTGATTGCCTTAGTAATTTAAATCCCAAAGTCACTTTGTTCTCATAAAGTCAGGATTTTCATCCTAGATATTAGAAAAATAAATAACATCAAGATTATTTTGGGGGAAATCTGTGGAAAGAAAGAAAGATATGTTCTGATCCATTTTACTGCTGCTGAGCTAAACACAGCCAATGGTCCCCCATGTTCAAACACGCCCATTTCTGAAGCACTGTCATTCCAATAGAACATTGTTGCTCTGGTTCCAGCTGTACATGCACAAATCGGAATAGAAACCGGTGGCAAAGGAGCTGATCATTTTTACATTTAATTTTGTGTGTGCTGTGAAAGGAAATTAGATTTTTTTAAAAATAAATAAAACTATTAAAAATAAGAATAAGATTTACACTTGGGTTCTGGGTCCATAAAGGCCTATACCCATAAAGCCTATTTAAGTCATATGAAAATAATAGGGTATAAAGATGTGCTTATTGTATCTATAATGCAGGTTAGATTTCAGTAAATTATTCAGGAACAGTTCACTATAAAGGCTACAAATGTAGCACAACCAAGCTCTACAAGTCTTTTGGCCATCTGCTACATGACAGTGAAAAAGCCGTGGAACACAATTTTTTTTTTTAAATAAATTCTGCACTTTGTGAAGTTATGTAACTCTTATTTTGGACAGAGCCATCCCAGCCATTACAGATGGTCTAAAAATATCATTGTACAGAGAGTAGAATATTATTTATGAGAATACTACAGATTTTGCATAAACTGGGAGCGACTCATTTCTCATTTTGACTGCAAAAAAAGCAGGACAAATAGGGCCTGAAAATGAAAGAAAACAAAAATTAATTCAAAACAGGTTTCCACTAAGAACTGGGCTTGTGATAACAAACTCTCGTACCAGCTTTTAAAAAAGAAACAATGCACATGTCCTAAATAGCTACTGCATGGCCAGAGGAAAAATATACTCCAAAGTAGATTTTTCGTAAGTACCATAGTACCTCAGATGATCTCTCAATTTACTTAACAGGTGTTCAGACACTGCTCTCTACTTGGTGAGATTTCTTTCTTCCAGCTTGCTTCCCCACCGTACCCAGGAGCCGGCTCCAGGCACCAGCTTGTCAAGCAGGTGCTTGGGGCGGCCACTCCGGAGGGGGGCGGCACGTCCAGCTGTTCGGCGGCAATTCGGCGAACGGTCCCTCACTCCGGCTCGGAGCGAAGGACCTCCCGCTGAATTGCCGCCGCAGATCGCGATCGCGGCTTTTTTTGGGGGGGGGGGGGGCTGCTTGGGGCGGCCAAAACCCTGGAGCCGGCCCTGACCATACCCTTACCTAGAAAACCTTTTTTTAAGATGGCATAGGAGAATTCAAAATGGCTTAATCCCATAGCTGCGAGGCAAACCAAATCCATACTTTTAAAAAGACTGAAAGGCGGAAGTTTAGGACAAAATAACAAACATAACACTATCTTATTTTTCAGACATGGAACAACTGGGGATTTTGAGGTGGAGGACCAAGAATGGGGTCAGTATTGATCACTGTTAAAACAGCTAATTAAGAAATAAATCTTAGAAACAATATTTATTTGTACATTTAAAAAAAAATCATTGTAAAGCAGTTAAGGCTGCCAGACACATAACAGAATCAAAAAAGCAAGAATTGAAAAGTTAAGCCACCTCACAGAACACAACTTCTATCAATAGACACATACCTTACCACTATCACAAAAAACATACACCACAGACCACAACCGTAACTCATCCCTTACATGTCACCATCAGATGTAATGTATAGGGTATAATACCAAGCTTCCAACAACCATTTCTCCACACTACCTCATTGAACACAATGCAATGGTGAGAAGGAATAGGAGACGCAATTGGACTGCCCTGCCCATTATCACCTCAGACGAAACGATGAGCTGAAGCAAGGGCGCATGCACGGACCAACAGACACTACTACTTTCAAATTCTCTGGCTCCAGATGCATGGTGTACATGCATAAACCCTCAGTGGAATACAGTAGGGACCATCACTCGAAGAACAACAAAAGGCTACCATATACACGGGGGGGGGGGAGTTATGCTCCATTTTAAGGACATTTCAGAATGCAACCTTAACTGCGGAGAACCTCTGCAATAAGATGTGCCTAATCAGCAAGTCTCAAATCAATCAATTTATATTAACCGGGAAAAGACATTCCACAAAAAATTAAATACAAAAGCAATCCCTTCACCTCAGAAACCTTCCCACAGGAAGAGAGGGGAAAATGGGTTCTGAACTGTCCTCCAAAGATCAACGGACTCGGGCTTTGTCAGACAAGTGGAGGGAAACACATTCAACTCTCAAGGGATGAAATCTTGGCCCCATTAAAGTTAATGATAAAAGTTCCATTGACCTGAATGGAACCAGGATTTCACCTTGCTATCTTAGGTATTTCTGAAGCACCTATCACTTTGCCCTTATTGGAAAGTCTTATGGAATGTAACAGAAAATGTTTTATACGTCGATGAGTTAAAAACAAAACAAAAACACCCAAATGCTGTAGAATTTGATAGAGAATAATAACTCCTGCCATAGAAATCTATATGATCGCTTAAAACCAATCAACCCACACCCTACAGAAAAGATTTCATTCTATAGGTTCTTACAACAATTCCTATTGAATCGTAATGGTTTTATCCCTATTAAATCCTATAGGACTCTTCCACAAAGGTGGTATTTAATAGATGGGTTAAAGAATCACCAGTATGTCCTGCCACCTGCCTCCAGATATTTAGTCTCTTAGCTGATGTGCCCTAACTGATCTTGAACAGCATCAATGGTACGTGAGGAGAAAGGCAGGTAGTCTCTTGGCCTCTGAGTAGTTCAATGCTCTGCTAGAGGAGTTCTTTTTTCTGCCAGAAGTTTAGGATGAAACCGTACCTAATTGTTCAGTGCAACACCTGAATAACAGCTGTACCAAATCAAAGAAACACCTCTACAATTTTTGTTTTACATTCCTGCAGCCACCCTTCAGCAACAAGTGAACATCTCTCCACTATGCATTCTGGATTAGTCATCCTGTTTTAGAGCCCTTCTCATAGGGAAAAGTGATCTGCTATCCAGGTGTGGCTCTCTGTATTTTGCCGCCCCAAGCACGGCAGTGAGGTAGCCTTCGGCGGTACACCTGCGGGAGGTCCGCTGGTAATGCGGATTTGGCGGCATGCCAGCGGGAGGTCCGTCGGTCCCGCGCCTTCGGCATACCCGCCACTGAATTGCCGCTGAAGCCACGGGACCGGCGGACCTCTCGCAGGCATGCCGCCGAAGGCAGCCTGACTGCCGCCCTCACGGCGACCGGCAGACTGCCCCCCACGGCTTGCTGCCCCAGGCACGCGCTTGGTGCGCTGGTGCCTGGAACCGCCCCTGCTGCTACCAGACCCAAGTGCTGGAGATAGGATAGAATGATACAAGCCAAATGCAATGCTTCATTTCACATTATTGAAATCACTTGTTTTATTTTTCTCTCTCATAATAAAAAAGAAAATCTGCATACTGGAGCGAGGGGCTGTTTTGACACAGATTTAGATACAGCTAAGGAAAGTGGGTAATAAAATCAATGCAGAGAGAAAAATGAAAGTGGAGGGGAAAAAGGCACTAGTTTTAGCAATATCACTGCTTTTGGCAAACACATTTTGTTGAATTTCACATTAACCCAATGTGTTAACATTTCATGAGTGCATAAATATTTAATGGTAAAACTGTATCTTCATATAATGTTAAAGCAGAATTACTGCAATCAATAAGAATGGCTGAGAAATAGTTGAGGCACTGTGTACTACTATGCACCAAATTAAATGGCAATTTGAGTAATCAATATGTAAAGCAGCTTCAGAATGCTCCTCTTTCTCCTTCCATTCAAGCATCCATATTTTCACATTTTCTGTGCAGAACAAAGAAGACATGACACATAGTAAGAATTCTGCAAGCAAGGAAAATGGAAAAGGCATAGCTGCAGTTAAATATGTGGATGTACATTCTACAGTTACAGATACTGATCTTTAATAAGCCACAACTACCGTAAAAAACAGCTTTTATAAACAACCCAGGAGAAATAATTTCTAATCTTGGCAATAGATTTAAAACATAGATTTAAAACATTCATTAGTATATCTGTAATACACTTTTCATAATTTAGGAATACCATATCCTGATGCAAAATAAAACATTAATAAAATACTGCTGACAAAGGCAGTATCTTTGTTTTATCTTTGTTTCCCTAAGCTCTCTGGTTGTGAAGGGGACAGAAATAGTCAGTGGGCAAACAGGTTTCTTTAGCAAGTTGCTCAAAAACACTAGCAGGGAGAGAAACATATCTAGGAAGTAATATACAGATCTAGACCAAAAATACTCATCCACCTTTGTATTAGATTTTATAACTTAGCTTGATGCATGATTCTATCGGTTTATTTGTTCCTCTAAGAAAAATTAACAGCCAAGGTATCACCAAACCCACATAATCCTTATTCAAATGGGAATCCACAGTTAAGATGTAACTCCTCTTGGCTTCATCTCAGCCGTGAACTACCTGGCCACTCTCTCCTTTCCTGGTATGGTACTACCTCCCTCAGTGTTTTCTGATGTTTATTATTTGCATTGTGATAGCACCTAGAGGCCCCAATCAAGGATTTGGTCCTCCACAATTCTAGGTGCTGTATACACATTTAATGAAAAGACAATCCCTACTTCAAATTGTGGGAGTGCTGCATACTGCTCAATCAGTTCTCTCCATCATTTCCTTCTATTGCCAGCCCCCCATTATGGTAACACTGTACGGTATACACATAATGGCTTCATCTTTTCTTGTATAAGAACATTTCAGTAAAGTTCTGAAAAATTTTCCCCGGACCCAGGTAGTTTTCTGACAAATCTTTTAACTGCTCCAA